TGGATTTTTTTACAAGAGAGCTCAACAAATTCATTGTAAAACAGATATGGTAGAATAAAGGTCTATAAAGAAGAATGTGTGTGTGTATATACTTTATTTCTATTTCAGGAACAGGCACATACATCAGTAGAATACAATAAACAAATAGAGCTCAAAAATAGACATGCTAGTGACAAAAGCAAGATGATGGAATAGGAAGTCCCAGCCCTCGTACCCCCACAAACATCAATTTAACATTGATATAGAGAGCAAAATACCTTTGTGAGAAGTCCAGAATCCAATTAAGAAGTTGCAGTACCCAAGAGGAGCACAAAATCTAGAATAGCTACACTGAAATGGTGGCCATGGCAGAAAAACTTAGAAAAGAATTGACATGTCCCATCTGCCTGAGTTATTTCAAAGATCCTTGTTTGACATTCTACAGCCCAACTGCTGCTTTACTGTCTAAGGCATTTGGAGAGGGAGAAAAAGGATAGCTTTCTCACTTGTTCCCATTATCGTGACATTTCTTGGATCCAGAAGATTCAGACCAACACGGCCCTGGGGTAGCTAGTGGGTGAGATCAAAGTAATTTGCCTGTGCTGAATATATGTTGCTGGATGCTGATGTTCTGTGTGAATATGACTTTGGATCCAGCCACGGACAATGACTTCCTCATATTTTCTAATGAGCTGTGCAGCATCAGATGTGGTGGTCCATATGAGACCACTACAGAATGATAGGACATTCATCTCTACTGCTTGTATCCTGGGGTCCTCTTGCTTTATCTCTGGCTGACACTATTGGGAGGTGAAAGTGAAAGGAACAGTGGAATGGGCTATGGGTGTTTGCAGGCAATTTGCAGGTCATGAAGGACCTTTCCTGGTTTCTTCATATCTAGGGTTCTGGTTGTGAGCCTCAAGGGAGTATGTGAAGTCATTGCCAGCATAGAAACTGGGAATTTCCATGTTGACCCAAACTTGTAGAAGGTGGAGATTTTCCTGGATTGTGACCTAAAAGCCATTTCATTTTTCAATACCTGTGATGGTTTCCATATATGCACCTTCAGAGTGTGTCTACTTCGGAGCCTCTATGTCCACTCTTCTAACCTGGGCTTCTAAGAAAGGGCGAGAACATGCAACTCATGAAGATCTGTGCCAAGGAAGCTACAGATCTGTGCCAAAGATGTTACAATTAGGCCACAGTCCTCTCAATGAGACATGTGATCTCTGTCCAAACAGAAGAGTATATGGGATCAAAATGCTAGATCATCCACTCCCAAGTTCCACATTACCAGGAGTTTATAAGGTTGAGAAAACGAACCAATTTGTTTCACTAAAAAATAAGCCTTAGGATTAGAATTGCAAAAATAAATAATTGATTTTAAAACCTGACTTAATTCTAAATACTGGTCTTTACTCAGGAAGAGATTGAACTAGACCCAAGAGGCCTACAGTTTAAGGGTGAGTTTTGTTTCTTCCTCTTGCGTGTTATCCAGGGGCCACTTCCATGAATTGTTGCTTCAGGATATAACCAAGAACTGGTTTCTGAAGAGTGTCTGGGTTGGATATTCATAGGCTCAAACCCCGAGGACTTGGGAAGGAAGGTTTTCTGTGCATGGGCAACATAGGGCGGAGAATCACAGGGCTGGAGACATTCAGAAGGACACAGTGTCCAAGGATTAAGTCAACAGATGGAGGGAAAATCAGGGAGAAGGAACTTGTGGGCCTCCATTTGGGACTGACATTGCATGGACCAAAAGTTGATTCATGGGGCACAACTGAGCAATTTTCAGGCTGCACCCACAGCCTCCCCACCCCCAAACTAAAGAAAAAATAAACCTACATTTACCTGGGAACCTAAGATGTGATTTTCTTAAATATTTCTAAGAAGCTACGAAGAAATAATGAATTGTTGGATATATGGTGTTATATATGGTGTTTGGAACACTGGCCATCCATATAAAAAATAAATAAATAAAATCTAAGCATAACTTTTTGTCATATACAAAATTAGACTCCAAAAAATTAAATACAAGTGAAAGGTAAAACTCTAAAATAGATATGAGAGAACTTTGTGACCTACAGTTGGGGAAAGACGTCTTCAACAAGCTACCCCCCTCAAATACAAACAATAGGAAAAGAAAAATTAAGTATTTGAGTCCATTAAAATTAAGCATATGTTATAAAAACAAAGAAATGATAAATGTTCAGGTGACAGATATGCTAACTATTCTGACTGGGTCATTATACAATATATGCATGAACTGAAACAATAAACTGTACCCCACAAACATATACAATGAAAAAATAAATTAAAAAATAAAATAAATAAAACTTTGTAAAAAAAAAAAGAAAGATAATTAAGTAAAAAAGTGTTAGCAAATACATGACACACTGAGAGAAAATATTTGTGACATTTAAAACCAATAAGAAATTTGTATTAGAATGGACAAAAACTTCAAAATCAACAGGGCCAGAAACCAACAGAAAAATTGGCAAAGAATATAAATAAGCAGTTCACAGACAGAGAAGCCCAAATGGCCAATATTTGTAGAGAGAATTTCAATCTCACTAGTAATCATAGACATGTAAATTAAAACAACAACCTGCCACTTGGCATCGATATGGCAAAACTTTTTATAAAGGGATATAATTCCAAACTATAGGTGGAAATAGGCAACTGGAATGCTTAGCTCTGCTGGAAGGAGTATAAACTGTATCTATGTTTCACAAGCAATCTTGTGAAACTTGTTTATATATCTATGATTCCACTTCTGGGTAAACATCCCAAAGAAATTCTTACACAGTTCCATAAGAGGACATATTCAAGAATACTCACCGTGACAGGGAGTTGGAGGTACTGTCCACACCACCTTCTAGTGCTCTTGTATTACCTAGGCTGGAAAGCTAAAAACTACATTTCCCAGACATCTCTGCAGCAAACGTTCTGGAAGAGATTTAGGTTCAGCCAATCATATGCACTCCTGTGAGACTGAAAAGGCAAAAGTCAGGTGATTCTGCCACTACTCCCTTCCTGCTGGCAAGCATTGTTGGGCGGGGTCTCATTTTGCCATGTAAATAGCAAAGTTTCTAGTGATAAGGCACTGACTAAATGTCAAGAGGCAGAGTACTGGACATCAGTTTTTGTTGGGGTGGATCGAGCAGATACAATGTGTTTCTGGAACAGCAGCAGTAAGCAGCTGCCTCCTGATCAGGACAGTCTCAAGATAATATTCAGGCAGTTACTGATAGAAGAGAGAACAGCTCCCTTGGTGGCTTTCAGTCTTTCCTCAAAATTAGACCTAGAGTGTTTTCTTTATCATTCTCAATGATCTTGTGATGCATCCCTTTCTGTTAAAAGTAGATTCTGTTCTATGCACTTAAACCAAAGCCTGACTGATTCCACCAGGATGCCAGAAATTTGTTAATATCTTCTATTTGCAAAGTTCAATTACCAGTAAAGTCCCATCTCAACTGTTCCTTCCATCAGGTGATCCACTCCCACCTCTGTGTATCTCATAGTATTTTGCATTTGTGTTGTAATTACTTGCTTACATGAACTCTTTGAGGCCAGGGATGGGATATTATTCATCTTTGTAATCCCAGTTTCTAGCATTACAGCATGCTCCCTCCCACTCAGGGCCTTTGCTTATGTTATACCACCTATCTGGAAGACTCTTCGACTCCTCTTCCCTTAATTATCTCTTATTCATCTTTCTCATTCAGTTGGATCATCTTGAGATTGATCTATACTGTTTAATATAGTAGTCACTAGCCATATGTGGCTGTTTACATTTAAACTAAAGTTAATTTAAAAATTGGTCGTTAATAACACTCACCCCATTTTAAATAAATGTACATGTGGTTTCTATACTGCACAGCACAGAATATAGAACTTTTCCATCATCACAGAAAGTTCTGCTGGATAGCACTGATCTAAATAGATTGGGACTCTGTATTTTACAATCCTGCAGTATCTTGTACTTTTCTTATGCAGCACTTAGCAAAGTTAATAATGAAAGTTAATAATGTCAGACTTCCTCACTAAATTGTAGGGTACATGAAGACAGGAGCCATGCTTGTTTTGTTTACCATTGTATGTCCAGTGCCTAATATAGTACATGACAAATAATGACCACTAAATAGATGTTTGTCAAATGACAAAAGAATGAATAAAGTTATCTTCTAATAAATACAAAAATCCTGTTGGGCCACATTTCGGTGCATTTCCACCATAAGGTGCCTGTCCATGTGTAAATCCTGTCTTTCAACAGTAGCCATTTTAAAGGCTAAGTTTGCCGCCGCCATTTCATAAGCGCTAATGTACACGTCGCTAGCTGCCTTCTCTTCCGGGGTACAGTGACTTTGCACTTTTTTCCCGCTTGCCCTGTCCTCACCCCTCCCCCCGGATAGCAGTGTGTCAACTCCCTATTGGATAAGGGCTCCCCCGCCCCTAGTACCTTATAAAAATCCCTGTCTGCTGTAATAAACAGAGTTCCGGCTTTGACCGCTCTCCTGGCTCGGTGTTCTTTCTTTGTCCCCGGGGCCGAAGCGCAGAGGGGATCGGGCTTGCGACACTCATCATCCCGCTCAGCCCCATAAGAGGTTGCCGCCGGCTGGTCCGGGGTCTCTTCCAGCCCGGCTTTGTCGGTCTCCGGCAGTGGGAGAACCGACAAATCCTATTCCTTGAAATCTGGGGTCCAGACTAGAAATATGATCAGTGGGTTTACGTAGGGACAAATGCTTTTGTGTTCTAGTTTCAGACCACTTTCTGCCCTTTTTTGCTGAGCATTTCATTTTCTTTCCTGAAATGAAGAGGACAGCAGTATCTAGCTAGTGAGAATTTGGGGACTGTACCTTGCTTGTTTAATATATGGTGGATGATGAATGAAAAGGATGATGTTCAAAATATCAAAATGTGAAACGCAATTTAAAAAAACATTTTGCATTGTTTTATCTAGTCATGATCAATTTAAACATATAGATGTCAGTCATAACCAAAAAGACATGCTTGTAACAAGTGAGAAATATGAGTACTTTATTTATTTAGAATCATAACCATTAAATTTTTATTTTGCATTATAAGGTGAGGGAGAGATTAAAAAGTTTGATTTTAATCTTTTATGAATTATGCAATAACATACTTTAAAAAGAATAAACAATAGAAAATGAATAACTAAAAGATATCTTCAATGAATGAAATTGGAATCAAAATAATCAGTTAAAATTGCAGCAATCATGGCTAGCAATGAATTACATGTAAAGTCTGGTAATATTAGAACTATTGGCACTTGGTAATCTTAACAGAGCTTAGAAAAATTAGCAGCATGTAATATCATTGCCCTATGCTGTCTAGAGCAGTACTCTGACCATATCTGTCTTCATTGGGATTTAGCTTTAATTAATACATTCACATCAGCTTTGTCTGCCTCTCCAAGACTTTTTTGACGGCTGTCAACCAAGATATTGTCCTCCTTTTTTCGGGGCCTCTGGGAACCACCTTCTCTGGCAGGTAGAAGAGCTCCAATGGGAATAAAATTGTGCACATCCTGCAGCTTCTTACGCAGCCATTCCAACCTCTCCATTGAGTTCAGATGTTTGCGCAGGTTGTGCATAAGCTCTATTTCACTCACAGATCTCTTCCTGGGAAGAACAGAAACAGAGAGGGCCATTCTATTAGCTCCTAACTTTCAAATCACAAAGCCAACCTTAAAAATCCAATTCCCATGCCCTCACCGTGCAGAATAGGCTACAGTACTTACTTAATAGGTTTTCCATCCGATTTTGTAAGAAAAGATATTGCAAACATGACAATCATTACTTTAGTCATATCTTTTGCAGACATCATCTTCACTAAAAGGATAAGCAAAATGGAGATATTTAAAAATATTTTTAATATTCCAAACTATATAATAAACTTATAATAGTTTACTTTTATAAGCATCCAACTACTCAGAGAGTATGACAGTAAAAAATTGGTTTTCATGAGTAGCTTTTGGGATCAGCTTCTTTACAAATACATTAGTCTACATTACATATACACATTATATATAATTTAACTTAGGAATTAAATAAATTAGTTTTACTTTCTTAGGTATCTTTTGAGATTTCTTGTGCAAGTTTTGATACATGAATTTTAGACTACAAGAATAATGAAAGAGCTTACTTTTGATGATTTCCTGCCATATTTTATGTTGGTTATGCCTAAATGCTTACAATCTGCTTGAAAAAGGCTAATTCCCTTAATTAGGTAAATTAACACTTTATTTAAGGAAACTTCATCTCAGGCCCTGCAATAATAACCATAAATGCCAAATTAATAGGATCTGATTTAGAGATTTTTACTGAATTAATGCACACTTCTCCTAACATTAAAAAGAATGTGTCAAAGTATTTAAAAATCATCTAATTAATTACTTGTTATATGGATTCTGAGCTTCGGCTTAAATAAAATGCATGTCTGTGTCTCATTTCTTCAACTTATTTTATTAACAATTTTGTTTTAATATAATTTTTAACTCTTTCCTCTTTTGCTCATAAAGTTTTCATATCAGTATAGAATATTCTTGCCTTAATCTGCACTTCAATAATTGCAAAGGCTGTTATTATAGAAGTGCTTTTTCTTAAATCCTCAGTGTTTTACCTTTTAACATCCATGAAGTGGCTATATGCTCCTATTTTAAGAGGAAACTGCATCATTTAAAAGCAGCATAAAAAACACTGTAATCTGCTTCATTTCTGTTCACTAGGCAATATAAAGCTAATGATTAAGCAACAAATGAACATTTTAATTTTTGGTTTATGTTAGAAGCAACTACTGTAAGGTACAGGGGAGGAAGAAGGTTGGTGTCTAATCCTAGATTTGTCACATTCACCTAGTGACCTCAGACTCCTCTTCTTTGCTTCCTTGTTCTTAATAGAGAGATGGGCTTCTTATAAGAATGACATTTTAAAAAGCAGAAAAATGATACTGTAAGGTACAGGGGAGGAAGAAGGTTGGTGTCTAATCCTAGATTTGTCACATTCACCTAGTGACCTCAGACTCCTCTTCTTTGCTTACTTGTTCTTAATAGAGAGATGGGCTTCTTATAAGAATGACATTTTAAAAAGCAGAAAAATGATTGTAAAACACCCTTAAAATTTATGTGCAATTCTCAGTATAGAAAATTAGAAAAGGCTGTTATTTTTGTAAAGGGAATAAATATTCAGTGATTGAACTTTTTTAAAAAAGCTATTTGAAGGTTTATTCAACTTTTGAATATAGATTGAGCTCTCTATGAGCCATAAAATAAACAACATAGGTAAGGATACTCTGCAGGAAAAATGGAATTTTAACTCTATTTAAGAAATTTATACTGATTATTTAAATCAGAATATTCATTCACCATCTATTTTATTTCAAAATTTCAATGGAGATACTAACAAAGCTATTATGCCAAATTTTAATGATTTTTTTCTTGTAGTTTTAGATAAGTTTTAAAAAAAATGTATCACGAAAGTCTTCAACTAAAAAAATAAACAATTTAAGAGTATTTTAGTAGCATAAATTTATTTTGTATTATGGCATTTTAGATTAAACATAACTAAACATAATTCAATACCCCTGAACATCTGACCTTGTACAAACAGCATGATATTTGTAGAAAATTGTACATATAAAATAATTACTCAATTATCAACAATCTCATGGAACTTAAAAGAGAATATTTAAATGTTACTTACCATACAATGTCTTAAGACAAGTTCTTCTTTCTGGTGTATTAGCAGCTGATGCTTTATTAATGTTAAATAAACCTGAGAAACCCAAAGAATGGGACTGCAGACCCTTAAATGTGACTTGTGTATATATAGGTCTTCTGCTCACCAAGAGAAGCTTTTTTATTGTTAGAGATAATATCACTCCCAATAATCTGTCTCTTATCTATAGGATCAAAGCAGTGCATACACACCCCCATTGGGTCAGGCCTCTAAAGTTTTAGATAATTGAGTACTGAAAGAAAAGGAGCATAGGCCTGGAAAAAGGGCTTATGCAAAGACTTTTAACAAATATTGAACTGTACCACCTAGAAAAATTCTGTCTGAATTAATGAATCTGAATTTATATTATAAAAAAAGACTGATTTCAAAGATTTATGGTAAAGTCATCATTTTACTTGAAAGTAAAATCTGAAAATAAATAATATTTGTTATAACCATGCTATTGGTACAATTATTATGAGGATTATAATGAATCATATGTGTTATGTTTTTTATAAGACATTTACAGCCAATCCGTATCACTCTTGGTCATTTTTCAAAAAAAATAGACACAGTGTGTTTCTTAAAGACAGTGTTAAAAATAATTTGAGAAAAATGCTCTTAGTTCATAATTAATTTTAAAGTCTTCAAAAGTGAAATTATTTTTAAATTTATTTAACTTGCATTTTATTTATACATTTAATCTGTAATAATGTTTGATAAGCACTAACTATATGCCAGACTTTACATATATTATCCCACTAAGTCTTCACAGCAATCCTTTAAAATAGGTACTACTATTATCCCCATTTTCACATGAGAAAACTGAGGCTTGGAAAGTGGCGATGGAGTTCAACAAAGGTGTTTATGACTCCAGAACCATGTTAATTCTTACTATCTCAGCTTCCCCCTAGAAACATAGTTCTTTTTTGAACACCAGTCTTCTTCAACTTGCCTATTCCTTTGCAACCTCTTTGCCCAAGGGTTGGGTCTTAATTCTCATATTCCCTAGCTGTCTATTGAGGGTCTGCTCCAAAACTTAAAAGAAGCATGATGCTGCACCTATATGATTTCAAATGTTGCTACAGCCTGGTCCCCACCTATTGAAACCCCTTGAATACCCTTGATATATCTAGAGCTCATTTAGGCAGCTTGCCTCCCAACTAAAGAGCAAGTTCCAGAGTTGGATCAGTTCTCTCAGCTCTGGTCCCATCCAGGCTTCATGTCATCTCCCTTTCCTCCTAATCATTGCTGAGTTTCGACGCTATATCAAGTAAGAGCACGCACAAGTTTGAATAGTAACTATATGGAGTCTAGAATAAGAAATACATGTGAGTCCTGCTCTGGGAAGTTCTCTACATTGGACAAACTTCACTTGGAGTGTTGCTCCAGGTTCCATTTTAGAAATGTTAAGAGACACTGGAACATATCCTGAGGATATGAATCAGTTTGGCGAAAATGTTGAAAAACATGACATATGAGAAGCGGTTGAATAAAACTGGAATAGAAAATCTGGAAAAGAAAAACTTGGAATGACTGTAAAGCTATGTTTAATTATTTACAGGGCTACCATAAGGAGTAAGAAGCATTCTCTGTGGTTTAAGAAGGAAGGACTGGGTTCAATTGCTAAAGATTGCAAGGAGGCAGATTTGGGCTCAACTTGGACATTACAATTATCGAAATAAAGAATCAAGTACCTTCCTTTTTTGTGGGGAAAGCACTGGGCCAGTTATCAAAGCCTGGACCTTCATGCTATCAGCACCATGCTATAATCAGCTGAGCTAACTGGCCAGCCTCAAGTATCTTCTTAGGTAGTGAGTTCCTCTTTACTGGAAGTGTTCAAGTAGAAGCTACATGAGCATTTAGCAGGAGTACTATAGAGATTTATGCATAGTAGGGAGTTGAACTAGATGACCAAGAGGTCCCCTTCAACAGTAAAAATCTGCTGCTTTGATCTTTTTAAAGACCGTGTGATACAACATCTACACATGATGTTTGTGTATCATTTTTCTGTTATACTCTGTTGAGAGAAAGAAGAATTGGAAATACAAATGGTTTTATAAACACATTTCTTATTGTTACTGTAAAGCCATAATTAACATTCTGATTTTGAGTTTTTTTCCACTTCTTTGGATAAGTTTGAGGTAATTGACAGCCTTTCAGGAGTGTTGCAATTAGCACTTCCACTGTCTTCCTCCTATTACCCTTATTTATAGAATAAATTGTCATACTGAAAGCAAGGATATTATTAAAATAGTTTTACAGAAAAATAAGATAACCGATTTAGACGATGATCTTTCATTTAAAAAATGCATTGAATACCTATTACCTGCCTGATATTGTATTCATCACTAGACAATTAAGACATGAATGCTGCCCTCAAATTTAACACATATAGGGCCAGCCCGGTGGCGCACTGGATAGTACGCTGCTTGGGAAGCACGGCGGCGCTCCCGCCTGAGGGTTCAGATCCCACATACAGACCGGTTCCCGCTCACTGGCTGAGCGAGGCGCGGGAGCAACACCGAGGGTTGCGATCCCGTTGCCAGTCCCCGGTCCGGTACGGGGGCAACACTGAGGGTTGCGATCCGTTGCCAGACACGGAAAAAGGCAAAAGAAAAAAAAAAAATTTAACACATATTGTAATATAACGTGGTAGGTGTTATCATAGAGATATGAACAAAGGCTTAAAAAAGCACAGAAGAGGGAATGAGTAAACTTCACTGGAGTTTTACTGAAGCTGTTTTACTGAGAAGCTGCAGCGTCCTCAAGGGTGAATATGAGTTTTCCATCAGAGAAGGTGAGAAAGGAGAGAGGGATCAGCATGTGCAAAGGCGTGGAGGCAATGAAAACTGCATATTGAGTATATGCTAGTGGAAGGAGAGGGGAAACAGGTGATGACTCTGAAGAAGTAAGTTGGGAACAACTGTGGAAGGCTGTTGTGTGTATGCCAACAAGGAGTTTTGTCTTGTCCTCTCTAAACTCTAAACAGGTGTGTGCTAGGACTATTTTTGTGTCCTTCAGGTTTTCCAGAGGACTACTTGACCTTCCCACGAAAAAGAGATACCTGCCAAGATCTGACACATAGTTTATCTGAGTCATCAGGCTCTGGGACAGCAGGCATTAGATAGAGGGAAATCACTTAGGAGTGAGAAGGCTAGGGGCTATGAGGGTTGATGACACAGTAACAGAGAAGAGCTGAGCACAGCTTGTTTTCTTTGAAAAGCTCAGCCTTTCTTAGTGTTCTAAAGTTTTCTGATGCTAAGATCAGACAACCTACTTGGACTCCTCACATTTGGGAAGGATAAAGGGCCACAAGTTGTGCCCCGTTGCCTCATGACAGGTTTAACTTCAGGTTGATACTTTTCCTTCTATTTGCTCAGTAGGAATTAGTATACTGTTGGGGACTTAGCATCAAGAAGCAGCTTTCAGAGCAGGAAAATCCAGCTACAGCTCTCCTAATTCCATGTTTTGTGTACAGATTAGATGGTGCCTATCTTTTTTAAAAACAGATATAATTGGTATACAAAAAATTGCATATATTTTATGAGTACAATTTGATGAGTTTGGACATATGCCAACACCTGTGATACTAATACCACAATCAAGGTAACAGGTAAATCCAACACCTCTCAAAGCTTCCTTTTGTTTTTTATTTATTTATTTATTTTTCTGGAAGAACACTTGATGATCTGCTCTCTTAAAGTTTGAAGTGCACAATATAGTATGATAAGGATTGGATTGGTCGAAACCTCTTGCAGCTTTTATATTTAGCTAGGCGGGAATTTTTCGTGCCTGACACAATCTAGCCAATGCAAGCAAGCCAGCGGTACATAAGCTAATTTTGCGGTTAGCCCTGTAGCCCCTCCCCACCCTGGATTCCCCATAGGGACTTTCCAGCCTAAAAATGGCAGAGCAGCCTAAAATGGCATTGGTTATGCTACTTTGTTTATTCCCCCATTTATTTTAGCAAGCGATTTGTACAGAAGCAGAATGCATATGTTAAGGTCAGTAGGGGTTGGGGCGTCCCTTAACATTTGAACAGGAATATGTACCCTATGTTTATCCCACCATTGTATTTTGGAAGTAGATAACTTGTTTTGATTTTGCAGATAGGACCTTGAGACTTTGGACTTTTGAGTTGAAGCAAGTTAAGACTTTAGGGACGGAATGAATATATTTAGCTGTGAAAAGAACATAAACTTTTGGGGCCAGGGGTGGAATGATAAGGATTGAATTCTGTCTCCCAAATTTTATGTATTAGAAGCTTGATCCCCACTGTGACTGTTAGGAGGGTGGGAAATCCTATTATGGTAATTGAAAGGTTGGGCCTTAAAGAGATTATTGGATTCCGAGGACCATTCCCTGATGAATGGATTAATAATTGTGATCATGAGCATGGTTCTGAGGGTTTTAAAAGGAGAAGATGTGAGAGTCTTTCTCTCTCTGAGAGAGATGATGATTCTCAATTGAACCTACTTCTTTCCCTGCACTTCTTTAAAAGAGAATGAAAGTAGGTTAAATCTCAGGGAACTTTTGAATGAGAAAGACTCAAGGACATTTTCCATTCTTTATCTGGGCCACAGAAAATTCTGCAGAGACATTTGCACTACTAGAAATCTTTTCAATCAAATAAAGATCTAAAGACTTCACCAAGTGACACCCTACGTTTACACTGTGACAAGACAGAGACATTCTCTGCTGTATTTAGAAAGATGATCTCATCCCAGGCATACAGTAACTCACCGTTTTATACAGATACCTTTCTGCTCTACTCTCCCTTTACCTTTAGTAGAATGTTATTATGTAACTTATGATACTACACACCGTTTTATACAGATACCTTTCTGCTCTACTCTCCCTTTACCTTTAGTAGAATGTTATTATGTAACTTATGATACTACAAAAAAAAAAAAGTTTTTCCGCACCCCTTTCCAATGTTCAACTGGAGCCAGTAGGCTGTGTACCCTGATTCCTTTATGTTTCACACAAAAAAAGTTTTTCGCACCCCTTTCCAATGTTCAACTGGAGC